GGTGGTGGAGGTCGGCTGCCAGGGGCCAGGACATCCAGGCCCTTAAAAATTACCCTCCAGACAATGAGAAGCCAGGTCACCCGATCTTTGGAGAGGGATGGTCCCAGGCCTGGGAGCTTGTGAAAAGTGCAGACTCAGGCAGCTCTACTACTAGACGAGGGAGATCCCAGGGGGGCAGGGGCAGCTGCATTTCTCATAAAGTGCCCCAGGAGCTTCTGTTTTTTAGCAGAGCCAAGGGCCCCTGGACTTGACCGTCTGCGAGGCTTGTTCCAGTTAGAAAATTCCATCATTGTATGCGTCGGGAGGCCACCTAACCTCCAAGGGAGGGAGAGGGAAATGAATCTCCCACTTGCAAGCCCAGGGGTGGCTTCCAACAGTGCCATCACACTAATGGAAACTGCCGCGAAGGAGCCAGGACCAGTGTCTATGAAAAAATAGGAGAATGGGTAGGCAGGGGGGCAGGGCCAGCCCACAGGATGTCCCCACCAGAATTCACAAAGAGGCCACAAGGATGCAAATCAATCAAATAAACCTTTGTTCAAAAAAATTCACCTCACCCGCGGCTGGGAGAGACAAGTCATTAGCACTGGCTGTTAAAAAAAAAAAAAAAATCCAAGGGCCTCTGATGACTTCAAACTAATGGGGCAAAGACAGGTGCCCCAGGGGATTAAAAGCGTGGTATTCCTTTCTAGTTGGTCCTGTCTCCTCCCCTTTCCCACAGTTCCACAGTTTCCCCCTCCCACTGGTCTGGGATGCAGCCGTGGAGTGGCTCAGCACTGAGGACTCGGGGCTCCACACCCCAAGTCGACCGGCCATCTCTCCCACTTACTAACCATGAAGTGGGATGGAGAGTGGGCTGAGATGAACCCAGCAGATTGTGGCCATGGATGTAACGTGCCCAGCAGAACGCTTGATAGAGGGCGGCACCCTTTCCCTTGTCCGAAGACCAAGCAGACAGTACTCAAGGACTTGGGTGGGAGTGGGGGCAGGAGGGGTACATGAAATTGAGAAGAACCTTCTAGCTGTCTGCACCAGGGAGTGCCAGCCCAGGAGCTGAGGGAGACAGTGCCCAAGAGCAGGAAGCCTCTGAAGGGCCGGGTGTTCTAGGTTGGGTGAGGGGGGGTGGAGCAGGGCTGGGGACCAGGCAAGACCAGGTGCTGCCTTGCTTCTGAAGGGCTGCTCCAATGTGGAAAAACACCCTACCATCTTCCTTTGGAGAAAACCTGGAATATTCCAACACCAAAAACCTCTCACTGGCGGCTCCTGAGGAGATGGGCTCCAGCTGAAAAGGAAACAAGGAGGCATGGGCGCTGCCTAAGGGGGCCCAGTTGCTGGCCTCCATCATCCATCCCTTACCCCTTGGTTTTCCCACAGGCTTGTGAAGCCTAGGTCAGAAGAAAGGATCAAAGCCTTAAAAGGGGAGCGATCTTGGCGGGGCTCTGGGAAGCGGCTAGCGGCCCCTGAGCGGCCCCACCCTGATCTCCAGAGTCCTGAACCCCTCCATCCCTGGTCAGGTCCGCCAGCCACAGTGAGGGCCCCCTTTGGCTGCGGACGGCCACTCTCCCACACCAATATCGGGCTGCCTCCTCCTCCCTCTGCCACCCTTTCTCCGCTCCGCACTCAGCCTCTGATTGGCTGAGCCCCCGGGCCCTCCCCGCTCCTCCTCTCCCACCCCTGGTGAAAACTGCGGGCGCCGGGCAGGGTGTAGCAACTGGAGGTGGCAGCGCGTCTGGAGGAAGCTGCTGCGGCCGAGAACCGGAGCCCAGGTAGGAGCCAGAGGCAGGGCGGGACCCGGGGCGCAGGGATAGAAGGCCCCCTGGCGCCCAGGCAAGCCCTCCCGATCCGAGGCTTCGGAAAACGGTCGGAGGGCGCCCTGGGAAGGAGCCGCTCAGTGCTTGAGGAGGGGCCTGCTTGCCAGGCAGGGGCAGGAGCCGGACGCAACTGCTGCAGGCCGGGGGCCGCGGCGAAGCTTTCGCCCGCTGGGGAACGTTCGCCTGGGGCTGGGGTGCTGGAGGAGAACCGGGAGGAAGGGCGCCAAGGAAAGCCTTGTGCTCTGCTCTCCCGCCAGACGCCCCCAAAGCCAGCCTGCGAACGCGGGACCAGGGGTGGGGGGCGGTGAAACTGGGGGAGCGGAGGACCGCAAACTGAAGGATATCTCTGCCCTGCGACCTCGCTGCGGGCTGGGTGCGGGGCATCCAAGGAACTGGAAACCGCAGTGCCGCGGGCGGGGGCTGGGGCGGGGACTGGGAGCAAGGCTGGCAGACGGGGGAGGCGAGAACTGGAAAAGGATGAGAGAGGGGGAAGGAGGACCTCAATTGGGAAAGGACAGGATTGGAACAGGGACATGGAATAAGGGTGGGGTTAGTCGAACGCGGGCTGGAGAGGAGGGAGCGCAAGGCTTCTCCGGGCTCTGAGCTGCGGGGACGCAAGGCCGTGGAAAGGCAGACTGCACCTCCCCTCCAGCTGTCTACCCCTCCCTTTGGCTCTACATCCCCTGGAGTCCCAGCCCCATTTCTTCCTTTCTAGTTCTAGCCGCTGCTTCCCCCGCTTCCTCTCCTAGATCCCAAGCTCGCCACCCCCTCTGTAACTCAGCGTATGCTAATCTAAACCAGATGTCGACCCCCCTTTCTTCCCCAACCGCACCTCCGGGTCCCTCTCAGCAGGGGTCCGAGAGGGAACTGACTGCAGCAGCAGGCACCCAGGAGCCCCAGTCTCGCCCCTCCCTCCCCCCTCCCCACACTGGGCTGAGCGCCTGGGACCCTAGACGCGGCTAGCGGCGCGCCCTGCGCAACAGGGCGCACGCACCAGGGCACGCCCTCTGTAACTCAGCGTATGCTAATCTAAACCAGATGTCGACCCCCCTTTCTTCCCCAACCGCACCTCCGGGTCCCTCTCAGCAGGGGTCCGAGAGGGAACTGACTGCAGCAGCAGGCACCCAGGAGCCCCAGTCTCGCCCCTCCCTCCCCCCTCCCCACACTGGGCTGAGCGCCTGGGACCCTAGACGCGGCTAGCGGCGCGCCCTGCGCAGCAGGGCGCACGCACCAGGGCACGGCCCCACGCACTCGCAGGCACACGCCCCTGCTGTGGCCTCTCCCTGGCGAGCACTGCTGCAGACAGGCTAGGCTACCCGCTCTGTGTCGCCTCGCCAGGATATAGATTCAGCCTAGGCTGCAAAAAAAAGACAGGGCAGAGAGCCTAGGCAGGGAGGCTACCGAAGCTGGACTGGAAAGCTGCAGGCCCAGGAATCCTGCCCAGAGAGCTGACGGTTGGAAACATCTTGGTTCTGATGCAGAGAACCTATGCAATAGGATGGCACTGTCGCCTTCCCCACACACAGTCGGGAACACCCTTAGCGGTGTGCCAAGTACGGTCCTACCTGGGGCCCCACACACACCTGACCACGCTCATCTAAGAGGCCGGCGACTAACGCCGTGGATCACTTACTCTCCAGCAGTGCCAGGTGTTTGTCATTTTTCTTAATCCCCATCACAGCCCTGTGGGTATCTAAAGCCCAGGTTCATTCAGTATCTTTCGGGCATCTGTTGCATGCCAGGAACTGTTTGGGCATTGGGGATTTTCTTCTGAACAAGAAGTAGGTAGGCCCTGAATGAGGAGTTTTTGTTTCATGGGTAGAGAGTTCTGATTTTGCAAGATGAAAAGGGTTCTGGAGATTGGAGACTGTACACTTAAAAATGGTTAAGATAATAAATTGTGTTCTGCAAATTTTACGATAAAAAAATTAGGAAGTCCCTGACTTCCTGAAGAAAGAAGAAATGGTCAAGTTAAAGTCACTTACTCAAAGCCACCCAGCTAGTAAGTGTTCAGCACACATACACACCACCGAAGGGTGTGTTCTCCAACCCCCTCGCTTTCCCAGATGGGGAAGAGCTGAGTGGCAAGTGTCACATTCACTGAGAGGTGGGAGGGGAGAGGGCTGTAGAGAGGGGCTTGGATGCCCACCCTGGCCATTATGGCATGTCTCCCAGGGGCCCCCAGCCCTGGCAGTAAGTGCGGGCACATCTGCCCCACCTCTTGGCTGATTCCCATCCTGTTGCACCCCCAGATCCAGGACTGAGCTCTCGGCACCATGAACCCTACCATTGGCATCACTCTCTTACTGACAGGTACCGGGCAAGGGGCAGGGCTGGGATTCCAAGCACCCTGGCTGCCTTCCCTTCAGAGAAGCTAGCTTCTTCCTCATGGCCTCAGAAAGTAGAGGTGACTAAGGGAGAGAGAGGGCTCCTTTCATCCCTAAGCCAGCTGAGCAACCTAGTTGATCTTCTGACTGCCTGGGATGGTTTTTTGGAAACTCAGTTCACTGAGCCTGCCCCATACTGAGTTGGAATCTCCAAGTGTGAATCAGGATGCTGCATCAACTTCCCCCAAGGTCTCCTGCCCCTGGAACATGCTGGTGGGACCCACGACTAGAGCAGAGGGAGGTAGGCTGGGGCCTGCAGTAGGGAAGGTAGACTGGCCCTCAGGGACCTCTGGGCGGGGAGAGGTGCTCAGAGAGCAGACCCTGTGCCCTTCCCTGGCCAGGCCTTTCTCTACTGTTAACGTGGATGGGAGGCCCCCTGCTCTACAGGTCCTCACCAACTTGGAGGGGGCACTGCTGGTGCCAGTCTTACAGGTAGCCCGTGGGCAGAAGGTGACCAGCCTGACAGCCTGCCTGGTGGACCAGAGCCTTCGTCTAGACTGCCACCATGAGAATACCACCAACCTGCCCATTCAGTACGAGTTCAGCCTGACCCGTGAGACAAAGAAGCACGTGCTCTTTGGCACGGTTGGGGTCCCTGAGCACGCGTACCGCTCCCGAACCAGCTTCTTCAGCAAGTACAATCTCAAGGTCCTCTACCTGTCGGGCTTCACCACCAAGGATGAGGGGACCTACACGTGTGCACTCCACCTCTCTGGCCAGACTCCCATCGTCTCCAACAGGAACGTCTCTGTGCTCAGAGGTGAGGCAAACCCCCAACAAGACCAAGGAAGCTGGCAGAGGCAGGCTGGGGAGGAACGGGCTGGCTGGGACAGCTGGCAGTCCCCTTGGCTGCGCCACAATAGGGAGTGGCCCCATAACTTCTCTCCCCTTCCCCCCACTGCTGCCTGTGCCCGGGGGAATCGCTACTTTCAGCATGAGTGGGGGAAGGGCTAAGGGGACAGTCAGACAGGCAGAGTGGTGTGGCAGACGCTTCCCCCATGACCGCGGGCAAACCACTCGGCCCCCCCAAACCTCCTTCTCCCCACCTGGGAAACAGGATGGCACTAGCTCCCTCAGCCACAGTTTTCTTGTGATGACATTTGTTCAAGGGCTCAGGAACCTGCAAATGGGAAGGATGGTTGGTTCTGTCAGACCACGGTGGCCCTGGTTCCAGCCAAGACATCATGGCGCCAGCCTCCCCAGGGGAAAGCAGCCTTGCCCTGGGCCTGGGCCTGCCCGAGTCCTGGCCGCTCTTCATTCCCGCCCTGCCTCTCTGCCCCGTCCTCTGTCCACAGATACACTGGTCAAGTGTGGAGGCATAAGCCTGCTGATCCAGAACACCTCGTGGCTGCTCCTGCTTCTGCTCTCGCTGCCCCTCCTGCAGGCCATGGATTTCATCTCCCTGTGACTGGCTGGGCCCATGGAGAATACAGGAAGCCACAAGGCCCAGTCCAGAGACCCCACTTCTCTGAGTCAGTTGACCCCCCTCCCCCCAACCTCCCACACACCTCGGGGAGAAGTGGGGACCCCACTGCCCCTAAGGAATCCCACTGCTGCATGCCATTATCTCCCATCCCCCACTGCCACCCCCTACCCTGTCCGCAGGCCACTGCCTATTTGTATTCTTTGTTCCAGAGCTGCTTGTGTCTGGTTTATTTAGGACTTATCCTACCTTTTCTTTGGCAGTTTGCGAAAAGGGAAGCCAGGGTTGGGCACCTGATGGAGAGTGAGGGGATGGGAGGGGCATCAGTCCCTGGGGCCGGTCATCCTTGCCCACCGGGACTAGAGGCCTGGGAGAGGCCTGGGAGAGACCTGGGCGAGGAGCGGGAGGGGTGTGTTTGGCCCTAGCACATCCCTCAGCAGTAGGGATGGCGCCTGAAGACCCCGGATGTGAGGGGCGCTGCCAAGCGTTTGTGGCCCATCCTGTGAGGAGAGAACCGAGCGTCTCCACGAGCACTTTCCGTCACAGAAAAAAGCCGCCTTCTTACCCTGCAGAAGTCCCCAAGGGGCCCAAGCCGCCTTCTTACCCTGCAGAAGTCCCCAAGGGGCCCAAGCTGCCTTCTTACCCTGCAGAAGTCCCCAAGGGGCCTTGGGCCCGGCGTCTGGTGCAGTGAAAATGCAGATTCTGCCTGGGAAGCAGTGCCGATGGGCTGGTGAGGCAGGTGGAAGGCAGCGTCCACCATCCCTCCCCCCACCGAGGAAGCTAAAAATGGGAGCCCAGTGTCTCTCACTGGCTCTGCCAGCAGCTGGAAGGTAGCAGAGGAGGACAGGCCCCCTCCCGAGCTGTGCCAAGCTCCTAGGCGCTTCCAGAACTCAGACCTGGAGGCAGTAAATCAGGCCTGGCGGAGCCCCTGGTTGAGCCACACAGAGTTCGGCCCACGCGTTCCCCCAGGAGGCTCTTCCATCTTCCCCCAGCAGTGCCCAAGCCTTCAGATAGGCCCCCGCCCCAGAGGCCTGCCTTCTCAGGGACCTCTTGGGGGCCTGGGGCTGGCCGTGGGGTGATACCCATAAGTGGACATGCCTCGAGGGGTGGCTTTACCCAGCACTCAGCTCTGCACCCGGCGGCTCTTCCCCGTCCTGTGACCGTGTGTAGTGCCACCACAGCTTATGGCATCTCACTGAGGAAAAAGAATACTGTACAATAAAACCAAGCCTCTGGAATCTGTCCTCCCGTCTGTCTCTGCTTTGCTCCTCTCTGCCCAGGCCCGCCCCCCTCCCTTAGCCTTGAGGGCCAACCCGCCACCTCCTCCCCTCCCCAATCCCTGCCTCTTCTGCAGCCCTTCTTCTGCCCCCTGCCCCCCGGGGGTGGACCACTGCATGCCCGGCTGCTCAGAACCACTCTAACACGGCACGTTTGCCCAAATAAATAAATGTTCCCCCTCTGTGGACTCACCTGCCCCATGTGTGGGCCAAGCCACATGGCGCTGGTTCCAGAACGTGCTAACAGGCACTAAGGCACGGAGTCTGCCTTCTCGGATCTGGACGTTCTCAGAAATGCCCCGTCAGCTTACATCGGCTCTAGAGGGGCACAGAGGGGAGGCTTGGGAAGCGAGGCGGTACGTGGGAGCTGCCCTCATCATCAAGGTGTAAGGACAGGCATCTCTTCTTAACTCCAACATGGCCACATAAAGCACTGGGGGTGGGGAGAGAACGCTGAGGCCCGTCCCCAGCTCCCTCCCCTAAAAGTCACTGAGTAGAAAGCGCCCCCTGGTAGTAGGGACTAGAACAGCATCACAGGGTGGTTCTGGGTCTCAGTTGCTGCCAGAGTGAGGCAGCCCCCAGAAGGGAATCTGGGGAAGGATAGTAGTGGCTGCCCAGAAGCTGACTCATTTGGTATTTAGCACTGGGTAGGATGGTTTTTCTGAGCATTTACTTAATGGGCCAGGATCTAAACTCGCGCCACTGACTCCCGCTCTTGTGACACCTCCCATTGATACCTGAGCTTTGCCAGTGACGCCCGTAGTGGCCAGGCCGGAAGAGGGCAAGAGAAGCCCTCAAGGAAGAGAGGGAGCTGCCCGTGTCACCGACCACGGGGACCCACCCATCCCCACGCGGGCTGTTGGCCACTCAGGACAGTGCAGCCAGCCTGGACACAGGGCCCTTTTGCTCTGCCCTGCTTGCAGCCAAAAAAATGAAGAGCCTTTGTAGGGGAAGGGAGTTCAAATGCCACCCACGGGGTAGTAAGAGCTAAAGCTGCAAGGTCTTTCTGGAAGGAACTGGGAAGCCAGGCGTGCAGCCTCAACTGTGAGAAGCCATCAGACCCTGGCACCTGTGTGAGCCTCCTGCGTGGTCTTTGTCACCCTGGCACTGTTTCCTTGAAGAGTTTAGCGGCCCCTCAACAAGGGTCCCTTTGCAGCCACGCCTGTGGGAGGAGAGCCCAAGGCCGCAGCAAGTGGGCTTAGCTTCAGAAGACACAGAGGCCTCTGAGGCCCAGGGTCTGTAGGAAGGCAGGGACGGAGAAGAAAGGAACGGGCCTGGGCCTGGGCAGGGGCTCAACGATTTAAAGGCAGGGCCGTCGGGCCTCACAGCACAAGCCAACCCAGAAAGACTGCGGGCCGGGGCTGCGGTGGGCTCCCGGGGCCAGTCCACGACGGCAGCCAGTTCCTCCCCGGTCACGCCAGGAGAGCTGAAGAGGGCAGCGGCACGTCTGCAGGGACTTGGCTAGTTACAAAGAGGGCTGGGGCCGGCCCTGGTTCCTGCACACGTGCCCAGAGCCCACCCCACCGAGCCCCTTCCCATTCCTCCTCACCCCTCCCCCACATCCCCCTTGGCCATCTTGGTCCTTACCTTAGGGCGTGGAATCCTTGCTCAGTAGAAAGAGAAAGAAGCCCCTCTCCACACATCCGTCCACTGAGACAGAGGAACACCTGCACACGGCGCAGCGTGAGGGTCTTCCCAACACCTAGGGGCTCCCTCGGGAAGGACAAGGCGGGGTCACCATGGGGAGACGCAGGGACTTTCTCTGGCCAACCAATAAACGTACCCAGCGTCCAGGGGACCCTGGACACACATCCTCCAGCCCCTGCCCACCCCCAGCATGATGTCCCTGTCCTCACTGTGTCTGCAGCTCCCGTGTCGTGAAGGGCAGGTTTGTCTTTACATGTGAAAGAAGCAAGTCCCAGGTTAGGAGTAAAGCACTTCCTCATCTACCGCTCAGGAATCAGTGGGCCTGGAGCCCTTCAGAGTTCTGGCAAAGCGTGAGGGTCGTCAGCTGCCTCCTGCTAACCCTGAAGCAGGGCTTCAGGACAAAGGTGGGATTGCCTCGTGCCCAGGGCTCTCAGGCCCCAAATGTCTCCCACCCCTCGGGAGTATCATGCCACGTGAAGACTCCCGGGAGGCGTCTTTGCCTGGCAAAGGGAAGACCTGGGGGCAGGGAAGCTATGGAAGTGGGCACATGCTGTAGAGGGCAGCATAGGACCAATGGGAGAGTTCTGCGGAGGCCAAGTGTGGCTCTACACCGGAAGGGGCCTTTGATGGCTGGAGCCGCCCAGCTGCAGAGGCAGGAGTGCCTGGCAGTGGGCGTGGTCAGTGGAGGCCACCTGTCCAGCCTGCAGGAAAGCAACTTCCTGAATTCAGTGGGAACCTGGGCTAGATGACCCTAGTCACTTCACCCTTCAGTGCCTCATTTTTCTGACTTCTAAAATAAGATGGGGGGCGGGAGGCGCATCTGGTGGTGCAGTGGTTTAAGAACCCGCCTGCCAATGCAGGGGACACGGGTTCGATCCCTCCCTGGTCTGGGAAGATCCCACATTCCACGGAGCAACTAAGCCCGTGTGCCACAACTACTGAGCCTGCACTCTAGAGCCTGTGCTCCGCAACAATAGACGGCACCGCAACGAGAAGCCCGCGCACCACAACGAAGAGCAGCCCCCGCTCGCTGCAACTAGAGAAAGCCCACGTGCAACAACAAAGACCCAACGCAGCCAAAAATAAAATAAATAAATAAAAATAAGATGGGGGGAATTCCCTGGTGGCCCGGCGGTTAGGACTCCACACCCCCACTGCAAGGAACTAAGATCCCGCAAGCCCTGCGGTGCAGCCAAAATTAAAATAAAATAAAATAAAAAATAAAATAAGATAGTAGTGCTGGAATGATTTATTTGTACAACAAACGTTAAGTACCTGGCTGGGCTAAGAGGTAAAAGACATAGCCCCTGGCTGAAGGAATCTACAGCCCAGTAAGAAGTGAGGAATTGATTTCAGTGCAGTGATTGGTGCTAGAAGGCAGAGAAGCTGTGGCAGACACTGCTTGAGGGTTTTCCGACATGTATTCTCTCTTTCTTTCTCAGCAATAGGACCCACAAATTAGAACTAGATTATATGGTCCAGAATAAAGACTACGTTTCCCAGCTCCCTTGCAGCAAGATGTGCACATGTGGCTAAATTCTGTCCAATGGAACATTAGCACAAAATAATGTGTACAATTTTTATGAAGTGCTCTTAAAGGGAGAATGTGTGCTTTTCAACCCCTTTCACCTTCATGCTGGCTGGAATGTGGAGTCAATGGTTGGAACTGGAGCAGCCATCTTGGACTATGAGATAGAAGTTTTATGTTACACATCACAAAGTACAACAGCCTGGATTCCTAGTGATGTTAGAACTGTCAGAGCAGCCATGGAATACCATGTTAGAGCTACTCTTATTTGGAGTTTCTGCACTCACAGTTGAACCTAAATGTACCTTAGAAAGAAGCTGTTATTTAACACAACTAAACTGTACACTTAAAAATGGTTAAGACAGTAAATGTTATATGTATTTTTTACCCCCCACCCCCCCACACACACACAAAGCCAAAAGTCAAATTTAGAGAGACAGAAAGTAGAATGGTGGTTGCCAGGGGCTACAGGGAGGGGACATGGGGAGTTATTATTTAGTGGGTACGGAGTTTCAGTTTTGCAAGATGAAAAG